CCACTTGCCTGCCCGTCTGTGCTCAGACTGCTCCCTTTTCCAGCCTGGAGCTTGCCTCTGGTGGGCCGGGATTACCTGGAGACCCTCTCTGCCTGGTACTGCAGCTTTGGCAAGTGCTGCAACACAGGAGACTGCCGAATAGTCAACAACGTCACGGGTGAGTGCTGTGCTGTGTTTGGGAGACCCAAAGCAGTGCTTGTCTCTGTTGCCTCTCCTGTTGTTCCTCTTGTTGTTTGTCAATGTTTTGGTTTTTTCTTTTTTAAAAAGTGAATTTTAGCAAGTAGTCTAAGTAAAAGGCATTTCTGAGCAGGGTGCTGAGCTGGAGGGAGGGAGAGCGGCTGAGCTAAGTTCTGTTTCCCATTATTCATTGGTAGCTCTGAGACTACACAAGAGTTGTTTTTCCTTACTCTACAGCACACCTGCTCTGGGTTGCCATGAGCCCAGTCTTCATCCAGTAGCTCCCAGCCCTATGCACTGGGATCTAAACGAGCTCGGTATTCGGCCCTGGATCAGGAGGGTACACCAAGACCTGTGTGTAAGCCCTGCACAGGTATCATTGCATTTTACTGGCCCTGAGACCTCTGCTGTCCGTACCCACTGCTGGGAGTTCACAAGGACCTTTGGGCTTCAGTGCCCTCTGCAGTCGCCAAATATCTGCTGTGTTTCCAGAAGGTCAAAAAGGAGCCAGCAGGAGATTTGTGTCTTTTTGTGGGCAGTGGCTGATGCAGGCAGGCTACAAGGCAAGCTTGTCTCATTGACCCATGACTTTAATGCTACTTAGTGCTTGGCCACATCTTCTCTTCCTCTCACCTGCCCCAGCAGCTGGGCTTGCAAGTTAAGGCTGAGCTCTTGCTCTCTCTACCGTAGGGCTGGAAGCAGACCTCAATGAGCAGCTCCATGGGCAGCACTTGGCCAAAGAAGTCATCATCCGGGCAGTGCGAGGGTTCCTGCAGAGCCCGCGGCCAGAGAAGGCTCTGGTCCTCTCCTTCCATGGCTGGTCTGGCACAGGCAAGAACTTTGTGGCTCGGCTGGTGGCCAGTCACCTGTACCGGGATGGGCTGAAGAGCGAGTGTGTCAGGGTGTTCATCTCACTCTTCCACTTTCCCCACCACAAGCTTGTGGACTCATACAAGGTGAGAGCCAACAACACGGCGTCGCTGTGGGGATGGTCCAGCATGCTGGGTCTGCCTGGGATGGAGTTTGTTGTACTCACAGTAGCCCATATGGTGCCACGATTGGCATTTCTGAGTAAAACAGTGTTGTTAACACATGGGTGTTCTGGCTGCTGCTGAGCAGAGCCTGCACAGCCTCAAGGCTTTCTACTCCTGCTGTGCCCCTGCAGTCAGTAGATGGGGAGTGTGCGAGAAGTTGGGAGGGGAGACAGCAGACAGCTCACCCCAACTGACCAAAGGGATATTCCAGGTCATTTAACATGATGCTCAGGAATAAAAATTGAGGGAAACAGGTGTTGGGGTAGGAAGCCATTGCTCAGAGACTTGCTGGGCATCCATGTATTTGTGGTAGGTGTGAGTGCTTACCTTTGTATCGCTTTCTTTGATTTATTTCTTCTTCCTTTCTTCACTTATTAAACTATCTTCATCCTGACTTGCTCATTTTCTTGCTTTTGCTCTTGCTGTTCTCTGCCCTGTCCTGCCAGGTGGGAGGGCTGTGTGGCACTTAGCTGCCAGCCTGGGTTAACCCATGGCCTCCAGCATGATGATCTGGTGGCAGTGGCTGCTGCTGGGCTTCTTATGCACCTACCTGCTGCTCTGCAGGCTCAGCTGAAGAAGCAGATAAGCGAGACTGTCCAGCTCTGCCAGCAGTCGCTGTTCATCTTCGATGAGGCAGAGAAACTTCATTTCAGCCTCCTAGACGCCATCAAGCCCTTTATGGCTCACCACGACAACCAGGGCCAGGTGGATTACCGAAGATCCATCTTCCTCTTCCTCAGGTAATTTCTGGACCCCCAAAGGGATGGGATGGAACAAAGTAGTGGAATTTATCCCCCAAGGTGTGCGATATGAGGGGCTTAGGCTGCAGAGAAGGGGAAAGAAATGTCTAGCTTCTCCAAGAAGCAGTTTTGTTTATTGATGCTGGGCATCCTGTCTGGGTACAGGAGGAGCTGAGGTCTGGCTTAGCTGGGACACCAGAGCCAGTGTCTAGGCTTTGAGACAAGGAACCAGTAAGGGTCAGCGCTAGCTTGGCATCACCCCACGCAGTGGAGCAGGGAGATTCACTGCCCCAGGGAGCAAAGCTGTGGCTGCAGATCTTGGTGGGAAGTTCTTTTGCAGCGTGGGAGTGGGAGGTGGGGAGTTCCCACTACCTGGCCATGGCTGAAGGCTGAGGTGCTTTTGGCCCACTGCACTGAGAGGGGCTCATCCTGGCATCGGTGTATCCTGTGGTTTAGTTGGTTCGTTTCCCACCCAAAGGGAGAAAGGAGTTCAGTACATGCACACCTCAATACTCTCCCTGACCCAAGCCTAGGTGGAAGAGGAAAGGGACATCTCAAAACTGAGATACAAAGTTGGCACATGCCTGAAGCAGGCAATGAGAAATGCCAAGGAGACACAAGCTTCTTGTCTTTCCTTCAATTTCAGAGTTACAGCTTTCCGCTTGGTTCTGGCAATAGGCCTTCCCACAGGCTGGAGGTGGGCAGAGCATTTGTTCCCCGTCTCCCACCGTGCTCTGAGCTCCGAGCTCAGTGGTTCCTCAGGGAAGTTTCTCTGGAGGACCTGTACGTATGCCCAGGGCTTGTGGAGCTGACCACATTTCGGTCCCTGTGAGGGCCTCAGGCAGGAGCCATGGTGGAGGGGGCAAATTCTCCCTCATTGCCCGGGGCAGGGTGAATGTGCTGAGTTGACCTTGTGTCCTATCAGGCACAAGCCATACAGGTGGCAGGGGGACAATGACATCAGCCTCTGCGTGCCACCAAGCAGAGGGGAGCAGGATGCCTTGACCTGCAGTGGAGTGTAATCTTGGAGGGAGGTTCATCATAGCTGGTGGCAGTGTGACCCAGAGCTGGTGCAGGAGGACTGGCTCTGCCCCAAGGGCTCCTTTGGATATTGGCCCAGTCCTGCAGCTTTGGCCAGGTTTGGGGGACAGGATGGGAGCCTCAATGACTGTCAGGACCTCACGTCCCCCAGCAGAGAGGGTGTCCAGTGGAGTCCTTGTGTGGGAACTGCTCTGCTTTGTCCCTCAGGC